AAGATTAAATGGGAATGAAAATTGGAACAAGTGGAAGTGGAAGTGAAAGTGGGAATGAGAATTAGAAAAAGTGGTAGTAGCAATGAAAATAAAAAACTGGAAGTGGAAATAGGAATGGGAATGAAAATTAGAAAAAGTGGAAGTGGCAATGAATATTAAAAAGTGGAAGTGGAAATAGGGAATGAAAATTAGAAAAAGTGGAAGTGAAGTGGGAATGAGAATTAGAAAGAGTAGAAGTGAGAATGGAAGTGCGAATGAGAATTAGAAAAGTATAAGTGGAAATGGGAATGAAAATTATAAAAAGTTTAAGTGGGAGTGAAAAGTGGTAATGGGAAAGTAGTGTCAAAGTTTCTGTGAAAATATATTTTAGAAACTCTTAATTTTTTTATAGGTACTAACTTTAGTAACATTAGTAATGTTAGTAACGTTAATTTTTTTACCTGTGCAAGTACTTGGCAAATGATTCCAAAACTTTTTCGCTACTTCGCGTTAAGTTATTTTTTCAATCACCTGTTCTGACAAATAAAGGTCCTTTCAGTTCGGATTTTCACTAAAAATAGTTTTGAGACAATGCCCATGTATTATAAAAATAATATTTATAAATTAACTGTGTGAATATACATAAGTTTGTTATGATGGTACCGATTCTACGCAATTAAACTCTATACAAATTGATTCTTTACATAAAAAAATATTATTATTTCTGTTTTAATTTTAATTAAATTTAACTTTTAGATAATTCTACGCAAATAAATTACGTTAATTTTTAAAAATAAAAATCATATTTGTGTAGAATTTAACTGCGTAGAATTAAAAACTTAAATTAAAAGCAAATTTTATTTAATTTTAAGATGTAAAATTATTTCGCATTGAATTATAAATGTAGAATTTTTGTCTAGAGTTTAATTTTAAAAAATTGATTTTTAAATTAAATTCAAATACGAAGAATTTAATTATGTAGAAATTAATTACATAGAATTTACAAAAATTTAATTAAAATAGAAATAATATTTTCTTATGTGTAGAATTAATTTAAGTAGAGTTTTATGGTGTAGTATCTAACTGTGATTAATTAAATTAGTTTTTTTAAATAAGTAAAATTAAAGAGCAGAAGTACTCATTGTTGAACACAAAAATATAATATAATTTACTAAACATAAATTAATTAGAGGATATTTTGTTTAATACAAAATAATAATAACTGTACAAAAAAATTTGTTACCCATACATATTTAAAAAAAAAAAAGAAGCATTAGCACGACCTTGTTAAATTTTCAACAGAATCGTATAGCAATAATTTACCGTAACTTTAATTACGAGCACTGTCAATTAAGCTCCAGCCTATATACATATGAATATGTACTGTAAAATAATTCGCAATTTACAATGGAAAAAAAATGGAAAATATTCTCTAACGAAAGAGAATGAAATATATACTGCATCCGAAAAAGTTTTAACACTTGGAAATTATATAGCGAAACCCTTATAGGAATTTTTTATCAGAATATCGTTTACCTTATAAATGTCAGTATGCTTTAATTATCTTGATTTTCTTGGTATTTTTCTGTGAATGTGAAAGTAAAGAAGATAGATTTAACGATCCTTTGTCATTCTTTTTTAAACTTTAACGATCTACCTTTCTCAAGGTCTCACACATAATTAGCAACGTTGCATTTCGCAATACTAAAACTTTGAAAAAAAATATTGTTTTCAATTCGCACAGGTATAAAATAATATATATATATATATATATATATATATATATATATTTCTGAACCTCTATTTCCGAATGGTCCCTTAATTCATGATTATTCATGATGGTATAATTAATACACTTTTTCATCAAAGTGCTACAAAAAGTACCATTTAAAAAACATCATCAAAATATTTGACTATCGTTAACAATATTTATATGAATTTGCATTTTTATATATACAACCATTTTTTTAAAATGGACTTTTTTTACAAAATCAAAATCACTTTGCAAAAATTCCCTTTCAGTATTTACATTTTTATATTTATTTACATTTATACTTTTTGTAATAATAGTGTTTTTTTCCATCAAGCGAATTATATAAAAATAAAATTGAATTCGATCGATATAATTGACGATATAAATAATCTAAATAAGATACGTTGATGAAGTTTTCTGTGACAGCGAATTATTTCTTCCACAATGAACTTTGCTCATTAATATAGAGAATAAGTTTTGCTGTAGGATGTAAATTCTCAATTTTTTTTTCAACGTCACATTGAATATTTTAACAGTTCTATAAAACCATTTTAGTATCTACAGCAAATTTTTTCAGCAAACATTCATTTTGTTCCGTAAATCATATATATACTTGTCTAATTTAAAAAATTAATTGTAATTAATAAATTAAATTAATTGAAAATTATATAGAAAAAAAGTTTCTATTTGCGTTCCAAAACTAATTTTCATAATGTCACTGATTTCAGTTTAAATATAATTAATTTTAGAGAGTATTTTACATTTAGAAAACCAACAAAAATTCCCGTTTTATTGATGTATAGAGAAAGAGAGAGCTATTCGAAAAATAAAGTATATATATATATATTATTAAAATAATTTATGTATCAAATTTTATGTTAAATATATCCAAAGATGAAGCACAATTCCAAGATCCTCATCGTCTGATAATCTTCATAGCAACAAAATCACCCAAAATTATTTGCTTTCTAAATCCATAAGGTCACGAGTTTCTTTTTTCTATACATATATAGCATATTTATGAAAAAAAAAAAAAAAAAAAAAAATGAGATAAAATCAGAATAAATTATCCAATTCTACATAATATCGGTAAGGTTCACTCTCACTTGGATAAATTTAACCGGATGCATCCATGTGAGTACGCATTTACCAATTTTACGCCCGAAACCGCAACGTGTGAAAATTCCCAGAACTCCACGCGCGCACGCAGTCACTGCGCGGTGAAGCTAAAGTTTATGATATGATAATTCAGTTATATTTTATACATTTATATGAAGAAAACCCGAAAAGAAAGAAAACAGAATATGTTCAAAAGTATATAGTATAGAGGAAAATGGTGAACGACAAAGATGAAAATGAAGAATGAAACTTGGGATGGAAAATGTACAATGGCGTTAACTAACTAACAGAGTCGTACCAACCTAACTTGCACATGCATAGAATTTCATTTACATAACCGTAATCCTACTTAAAGGCGAATACCTAATTCCCTCATTCGTTTTCGTTTCTCTCATACCTGAATTCTCAAATGGTTATATCTATGTAACCTACCTATTTTCGCCGAATAGACCTTTTATCGACGTTCAAAGATTCCACACTAAAGGTCGGAACATTTCAGCTTAAACGACTTCAAATTGATACTAAATTGTTCCATTATCTTCACTAACTTTCCCTTACAAACTTCTCATGTTTCACCTGTCAAATAATTTTTCTTTTTCAACATATTCAAAGCAGGTGGTTTTTTTTTCTTTTAAATTTAATATAAAATTAATAAAAATTAATATCTTTCCATTCCACTTGGAATGATTCCCCGGAAAGTGCCCCCTGGAGGTTCTATCAGAATTCCGCCGGAACTTCCAACGTAATTCCGTCGGAATTCCAAAGAATTTCCGATGGGATTCTGACGGAGTTTCGACGGAATTAGAATTCTAAAAATTTTGAAAAAAATTAATCGGAATTCCGTCGGAACTCCGTCAGAATCTCATCGGAAATTCTTTGGAACTCCGATGGAATTCCGACGGAATTACGTTGGAAGTTCCGGCGGAATTCTGATAGAACCTAGCTCCAGGGGTCACTTTCCGGGGAATCTTTCCAAGTGAAATCGGTCTACTCTATTCCTTTTCAGAGATGTTCAGTATATAACATCAAATTGTTTATTTAACAAATTATTTTTATTTTTTATATTTTTTACAGTTTGTTAAAAAAAAACCCATAAAAACAATAAATGGGAAATTAATTTCTTTTAAATAGTCATTATCATATTTTCTATACAAATATTTACTGTAATTTTCATTAATAACCTATCAACAAATAATTAAGGTTTTTTTCTCGTTTTCTTTATAAATTATTTAAACAAATTAATATTGTTATTTACTAACTTTTTATGAACTCTATATAAAAGTTTGCAAAATTTTCTTAATTTTGCAACTTTTCACTGAAAAAAGGGTTTGATATTGACAACCAAACGTTTGGTTGGTATTTAAGCAACCAAAATTTTTTTGTTGAATCAACAAAATTTTAATTGTCTCAATCAAAATTTGTTTGACACAACCAAAATTAGAAAAAAAGAATTTTTGTTGTCCTAACTAAAATTTGATTGGGACAACCAAAATTTTGTTGATTCAACAAAAAAAATTTTAGTTGCTTAAATACCAACCAAACGTTTGATTGTCAATACCAAACCTTTTTTTCAGTGTTTATAAACACTAGAAACTGTTATAGTATATAGTACACAAAAATGTAGTAAATAACAAAAATAATTTGTTTAAACAATCAATAAACAAATGAAAAACCGGTAATTATTATTTAGTAGGTTATTAATAAAAATTACAGTACAAAATTTGTAAGAGAAATGATAATGACTATTTAAAAGAAATTAATTTCCATTTGGCGTCCGTCCGTCTGTCCGTACACTAGTATAGTTGTCATGGTAATAGTTAACATAGCAACTGTTACCATGACAATTTATTTATTTAAATTATACAATAAAATTTTATTATTATTATTTTAATAAATAATTGAACTTTTATATATTATTTTAAATTAACCATTTTTTATTCTCTTTGTCATTGTACCAATAGCAACAACAAAAAAAAAGCATAAAATATTGTTCTTCCATCAATTGAATCGTATAAAAAAAAATCGTTCTCTCTAATTACATCCATTTAAGGATAATGCCACCGAGTAAAATGTTAAAGGACTTTCTTAATAAAAGAAAAGGAATGTAGCAAATGAGGAATATGAAGGGTATTGAAGAATAACAACGTACTTTTATTTACAAGATATGCATATATTTACACGCGCTACGCAGAGTACATAATAAAAAAAAAAAGCACAAGCGCATTCGCGTACTTTACATTCGTGGAGAGATGTAGACGATCACTCAACAAATATAATAGCCTATCTCCATCAAGGCATTTTATGTATAAAATAATAAATTAATCCATAAAAAAAAATAGAATAAGGGTCGTGTAGCGAAACGAGATTGTCTTATGGCTCGGCAGTACTACTATTACAATATAACTACTGATACTCCCTAGAAATCGACAGCCCTCGCAGGCACTTTCAACCTTCTTATATATTTAGTTACCTGAAATGTAGTAAAAATTCTAAAAATAAATTTTCCATTCGATCGAGCATTTTTTTTTTCTTTAACATTCACATAAATATATTCACAACAATGCCACTATATGCAAATTGTTTCAAATTCATCTGCGTGCAATTGCACTGAAAAAAGAAAATATTTTCCTTCGACAAAAATATTGTTTATCCAAAAAATTTTAAAAATTATAATTCTGGCATCAATTTAATCTTGCAGAATCTTGAACCGAATTTTCATTTGCCAATAAAAAATTTAATTCAAATTTGAATTTATGTTATGAAAAAAACTTGTCTTGTTTAAATTGTGTGCTAATTAAAAGAATTTATTTTTTTGCCTTTGATTGATATATTGACGTAAACTTTCAAACTTCTTTTGGTTTATACTATAAAAGACTGAAATGTAAAACACGTAACATAAATACCAATATTGTTATATATATATATATATATATATATATAAACAAAGAGAAAATATTTTCTTCAGTGCATTAAATATCGTTTGAACTTTCACCTAGTAAATTGTGTTTCAAGTATATCTGATGATTTTTCAACTAATGAGCACCTGATCTTCGAGATTGTCTCTCGTATACATAAAAGATGTTACAAACACGCATTCCCAGAATACATTCACACTTGTGATTCAAGTGAAACATCTTAACCTATTGACCTATTTGAGTATTGAAAATCGCGGGCATCATCATTTAACTCACAAACTTATATGTGACGCGCTCCGAAGAAAGGTACCTAAGAAGCAAAAAATTGTAGGTTATGTTTGTGATTTTTAAAGTAAAAATAAAATACACAAAGGGAATCAACTCTCAATATAAATTATTGGTGTTTAAATCTTCATAACATTGAAAATATTCACTAAAAACTGATTTTACTTTACATAATAAAAAAATAAACTTTTAATTAAGGTAAAATTATGAAAAACATAACCTTAAAATGATTTGCTTCTTAGGTACCTTTCCTCAGAGCGCGTCACATATTTATATGCATCATTCGTACAATCGAAATAAAATAATAATAATAATAATAATAATAATATACTGGCAAACAATAAAAAAGTTAAAAAACATTTACACTGGTCACAAAAGTGCGTTAATCTCTTTTGAGCACTACGACCTTGATGCAAATAACTTTACGCTGGAAATTTTTTAATCATATAAATATAAACATCACTTGGATGCATCTCATTTTTACCTTGAAAAGCAATCGTGTCAAGATCACGACATCGTTTGGCAGTGACCCCAGAGGTCTGCTGTGATAGCATCCACTTTCATCGTGGCAGACTCTCTTTATATATATATATAGATATATAGTCGAGAGAGTCATTTTAAGAGGATCGTGTGGTTTCTGAATATTTACAAGCTCGTCGTGAGAGTGAAATAGCTCTTACTGAAGATTCCTATTACTTTCACCGCGTAGTGTCGGAGGTTGTCTCCCCTTTTTTCCACCAATGTAGATTAATCTTATATATATATATAGTTTTCCCTATTTTCCATACCTCACACCATTTCATAGGATCAGTCTCTCTTGCGATAGAAAAATCCTGTTACGGAAAATTGCTATCCAATCAAAGTCTAGTTGATAAGCAAAATGGCACTTGTATTGCTGATTCACTCTAACAAAAAATATATTTTAATGCCTATAGATTTTATCCCGAATAGAGAAAGTTTTATCTATTTTCAATTCTGATTATCTATATATACGAATTGGTAATCTAAAGATCTAGGAATTTCATTCTTCACTCAAAGAAAAGTTTTGTTTGAAGTTGAACCAAATATACCATTTTTTTTTTGTATTAACAGAATTTTTTTTTTTTTTTTGGTTATTTCAAACAAAATTTGTTTGATTCAAATAAATATTTATTTAATCTAAATAAACAATTGGTTTATTTGAATAAATTTTTCAAAAAAAGAATTTTATTAAACCAAATAAACTTTTTGTTGATTCAAACAAAAGTTTGCAATGCATTTCTTTGATTGATTCAACCAAAGTTTGGTTGTTTCAAATATTATCTAAGAAATCTAATTTTTGGAAATCTGAGAAATTAATCATATTTCAAAAATGATCTGATATTCTACATATGAACATTAGAATGATTAAATCAGTTTAAAGATGATCATCATTATATAAAATCTTTTTAAACATTATCATCTTTAGAATTGTCAGATCTTTTTTGAAATGTAATCAAATTTCAATGTGTTTAATTTTAAGAAACTACCATTATTATCTTTTAAAATCAAATCTAATAATAGAGTTATTAAATGTCATAAGAATTTGAATTCTTTGTTTTAAAATTTAAAACTTAATCGCTTTTCAAGTGAAAATTTATAGAATCTGATCAACAATAAAATATAATTCAATCATCTTTAGAATAATTGATTCTAATCCATTTTTAAAACCTAACCTGTCTTTAGAATTGAATCTAATCACCATTAAAACTGTACCTAATTATCATTGAATTTTTATAACCAAAAATCCTAAAATATCGAAACATTTGATTGTAAGAATAGGAAAGAAAAAACGTCACCAGCCAAAAAATTGGTAACACTGATGAATTCAATACGAGACTAAATTTTACAAATTAACTACTTTTTTCTTTTGCATTATCATTTTCAGATTGTTTTTCATTTTTCAAGGTAGATCTCGCTTGTTTCTTTGAATCCTCGTAATTTTTATTATTAAAGAAGAGAGCAATTTGATCCTTGTGTGCTTCGGTATTTTCACTCGATGATTTCTCCACATGCCTGGAAGTAGCTTGAGCTATCATTTCTTCAAGATCCTTATTCTCTTCCTCATTGTGTACATTTGAATCAAACTGATTACTAGCGACATTGTTTGTTGCTGCGTGTGATAAATCACCGTAAACTTTCTCCAATGGTTGCACCAATGGTGGTCCCTGAAGTTCAATTTGACCTGCGTTTGGTTGTTGTTCAATAGCTGCAAGAATATCCTGAAGTAGACCATTTGACAAGACTTGTTCATGTCTGATACTTCCATCGGAATTCTCAGTGCCCAATCCACCATCAGCGGCTTGAATTTGAAGTGTATATGTTCCCTTAGAACCTTGAATTTGGAAGCCATCATTGCCTTCAGGAACAAGACCTTGTTGTGCCAGAGCAAGGGCATGATGACCTTCACTAGTCCGAAGGAATTGACTGGCTTCAACTTCATTCGAATTCACTGCATGTTTCGCTTCACCGTAACCTTGTTCCGTTAGAGCTGCTGTTAATGCTTCAGCTGAAATTCCATGCGCTGTTAAAAATGATGTATCAGAATTGAATGAATGTTGAATTTGATTCGATTGTTGGGGTAATTCGTGAATTTGATTTGTATTTATAGCTGCTCCAGTTTGATCATGAAGTAATCCACCAATAGGATTGCCATAGCTGTCTTTTAGATTACCACTTTGTTGATTATGTTGTTCAAGATCAAGATGACTGACTGATGGAGCTGCTAGACCATCAACGGGCGCATCGTACAATGAATTCGATCCAGCAACATCAGGAAGATTATAGCCAATTGCTCCATTCGCTTGTTGGAAGCAATCACCTTTTCCTCCAGTAAGATGTGAATTAATGACTGGTGTTCCATAAGTATTGGACAATGAATTACTAACGCTATTATAGAGATTACCACCGAATCCAGTTGATGTTGATGCAAACATTGAAGGGGGGCCAAAGTTTGGTGCACCGTACGTTGGCACTGGAGCTGGTGTATTGAAATCATTGAATGACAATGGAGTACCATAGTTTACATTCGGTGCGACCATTTGACCGAAATTTTTGCTCGATGTGAATGATCCTGAAAAGTGTGATCCAGAACCAAATGATTGATGTCCATTGAAACGTGGAAGTTGTTGATCGAATGCTAATGGTGGACCGTATGTTTTTTGTGGTTTAATGTGATCACCATTTGGGCCGGGGGGAAGATATTTATTGAGATTTGAGATCAATCCACTTGGTACTTGTTCTCTAAATTTGTAAGGATGTCTATTTCTTGGTGGAATCAATGATCCCTGTAATTGTACAGGTCTAGGTGGTCCACGATTTTTAGAAAAATGTCTATTGAAACCGCCTCCAAAAGAGCCGAATGATTGTGATGATGAAAAACCTGATGAGAATGCTCCACCTCTAAATCCTTTTGATGATTGATAGGGTCCATTTGATGTGAATGATGATGATGGTGGTGCACCGTAAGAATCGGATGGTAGTGGAGGTGCCAGTGGGAAATTAGGTGGTCCATAATTGCCTGAGGGGGCAATTGGTAATTGTTGCAGCGATAAGTCATCGGATGAAATTGTTCCGTGCGAGCCTTCAGCTGGCAATCCATAAGAATCGGACGGTGGAGAAAGTGCCTCGGCGTGAGCTGAACTTCCACCGGAGAGAGTAAGACCTTGTAGATCAGATGTTAGTAGTTTAAGGTCATCATTGGCACTCGGTGCTCCGTATTGATTATTTGGTACCTCGAGTGATCCAAATTGTTTCAAAGAATCGAAATTACTGCCGCCATTACCTGGACCTTGACCAGCGTGAAGGGGTTCAAATTCGGGTAGAAGAGGTGGTGGGAGTCCATGACTTTCAGCAGTGGCTGATGTTTGATGAACCGATGATTTTAAATTATGATCATCTGGATTGTTGAGGGGAACACCATAAGAGTCACTGGGTATGTTTGTATTTGAAGAATCGTGGAAATTCACCAATGGTACATTCTCAGCTGGGGGGAGATAATTCTCCTGTGGATGAATTTGTTGATTGGGACTACTAACTAATCCGGCGATTGGTTGCCATCCGTCGTATTTGATGTCAGGGGGTGTGGGAGGAGCTGGAACACCTGGTGCTGGAGGTTGTGGTGGTCCGTAGAGATCATTATTAAAAGGTGCTCCATATTGAGGTTGTGGTCCTGGTCCAAAATTTCCTTGATGACCAAATGGAATAACAGGTTTTCTATTTGGTGGTCCGTATGCTTCTAGAGAAACAGGAATAGGTCCATTGCCGTGTCCTGGTTTTGAACCAAATGGAGGTCCGTTAAATTTCGATGGTGGTCCGTACTGGGGTTTTGGTAGTTTAAATTGTCCAGAGGGAGGTGGTGGTCCAAAGGATTGTTTTGGTGGTCCGTATTGTGGTTTAGGTGGTCCGTAGTTTAATTTCGGTGGTCCATATTGTGGTTTAGGTGGTCCGTACTGTGGTATCGGTGGACCATAATTCATTTTTGGTGGTGGACCATAATTTTGACTGGGTGGTCCATAAGATTGACTGGGTGGTCCGTAAGATTGAGGGGGCCTTTCAGGTGGTGGTGGAGAGAAAATTTGTGGTGGTCTATTGTCCCCTGTTAGTTCAGGTGGTCCGTACACTGGTGCTGGTCCATTAAATCCCACGTCTGGTGGTGCTCCATAGGAATTACTTATTCTGTCTTCTGCCTCGACCTCCTTCTTTTCCTCCTCATTTGTCGTTGAGGATTGTGAGGTTGGTTTATTTATAACCGCTTGAACCTGGTGTCCAATTAATAGGATACAGAGTAGGGTCGATATCATCTGTAAACAAATAAATTGTTGGAAAATAAATAATCATGTAAATTAATTAAATCTTGCCTATAGTTATAAAAAAAATTTTTGATTAAGCGCGTGAATGAATAAATTTGTGTTTGTTGATTACTATTTTGTGGATTTTAATTACTAATTGATTTTACAATAACTGAATACTAGAAAGTGTATTATTAAAATATCCTTTAATTTTAGTAAAAAGAGTAAATTTCCATAGTTTAATCAATTTAAATTCTTCTTTCTAGTATTTTTTTTCAACTAGTTTTACTACTTTCCTCTTTTTTTTAATACATCTTTCGTTTTTAATACTTTATATATTCTCCTTTTAAAACTTTTCTAGCTTGTTTCTTTTTAATATTCTTTTCATTTCAATATTTTCCAACTCCTTAATTTTCAACGGTTCCACTCGTCTGCCAGTACATTTTACTCATGGAGTATATAAAGTGGTCTTTACGTTAGCAGTCAATCATAAAATAATGGTGCTACCTGAACCATAGTTTAGCGAGGGAAAAAAAAACAGTTTTATCGCTTGCTTTTTATTCTCTAGTAGGAGATCTTTATTGTAAAATAACAATAATGGAATATTTTATTGTAACAAGAGTCATAAGCTATTTTATGACAGTTTCTTTAAATGTGCAAATAATCCTATAAACCTGAATAGTTTTTCGCGAAATTTTAAAGTTCAAAAATTAAAATCCATCGGGAAGTGAAACATGGACGTCTTACTTTAAAGTCGAAAGTTTCGATTTAATCTGTACTATTCCTTTGTCTATATTTTTAAATATAATCTACTTTTGTTCTTTACAATGGATTTTTAAGGTCCAGAAGTGTTTTGAGAAATATTTTCTAAAAATGCAATCTTTCGTAGAATCCTGGGATTTATATTTTTATAACGCCTTGTTTTGTTACAATGAATCACAAGTTTCATTTGTGTGGATTTAAAAAGAAGATGATGAATCTGTTTTTTTTTTTTAACACAATGAAACTTTGTGATGAATTACTACACAATGAAGCTGCGATTAACTCTACTACCATCGTCAAATCTAATTAGCTCATTAAGGCTCGTTCCGAGAGTGTTCTGTATAAAAATAAAAGTGAGATTTTCGAGTCGATGAATTATAAAAGAGAGCGAGTCATCGCTTGCGTGCTCGTCTTTTTCTTATTATAAAAATTACGCAAACACAGTGGCATTATTATATCTACTTACTATATGGCGAAAAGTATTGCATTATTTTGTGAGAGTCAAAAGTTGCATGTGAGATGGTGTAAGAGATGTGTTTCGGCAAAATTGCCTTGTTTCTGGTGAGTTCAGAAATATATTCCGAGTTAGGGAATATATATATATATATATTCTCGACGCGCGATGGAACATACGGAAACACGAGACATCAAGAGAAGAGAAGGCGACAAGAAAAGCGACTCTGCAAATCAAGCTTGCAAAACTACGCGACCTGTCAACACCAGCAGAAACGTTAGACTTCTGTTAAGTGGCACGATGGCCGAGAGATGCAAGGCTAACATAATAAACTCTACTTTCTCCAGACTCGCAGTTGTCCACGAGGAAATAACTTCACGAGAGAATTGCTCTCGACAAACTGCCAAAAAGTGAATTTTTTATTAACGGACCATATTCAAAACTCTCTATACCAGAAGGTCATAAGAAAAAATTGAGAAAAACAATTTTTTAATCTTTAAAATATATCTAATTTTGAACAACTGATTTTTAACAACTAAAATTTCTCTACCCTTCATTTTTTACAAAACACCGCTTTTTTTTTTTTTTTTGCTAATAAAGAATTACATTTTTCCTATATTCGATTCGTTTTATTTTAACGTTTGATTACATTGAAAATAAATTCCCTTTGATAAAAATTCAGATTTTTGTTACAATTGTTATTATTATTATTATTAATTAAATAAATAAATACAAGAAAAGTTCATAAATTGAATGAAAAGAATTTTTGAATAGAACTATTTTGCATACTGTGAAAATTAAATAAAACTGGATTTTGTATTTTTTAAAATAATAGAAAATTAAAATATTTTAATTCAAAACACTCTATTGTATGATATTTTATTCTGTACTTTTCAATTTATTAACTATTGATTTTATTTGGTTGATATAATTATTATATGATTAATTCATTCCACTATAAATAAATCATATTATAACTGTTCTCATTTATTAATTTTTATATTTTATAAAACTACTACTATTTCTACCTATGCTTTTTGAGTTATAATTAATTGAAATCGATTTCTAACAATTGAACAGAGTCAAAGTTTATCATTTATTATGACATCCAGTGAGAAAATGTGAAAAGAATCATTAAAGAGAATTTTAATTTAATTAAAAAGGAAATAAAGTTTCAAAAGCTATTAAGGTTTTCATTATTAATTAATAATAAACATTAGATATACATTGTGAGTGAAATCGTAACACTTTTTCAAAACATACATGGCATTATGATCATAATATATAAATTTTTTTTTAAGTATATCCTGCATATAAAGAGTTAAAATGTAGAAATGTATAATTGAAACAAAAATGGTTTATAATTGTAGGATCATCTAAATTGCCCTTTTAAACATTTTTTTCTACAGTCTATTTAAGAAGATAAACAGTGAATTTAACACTTTAGCGAGAAAAAATACACCTATATAAATAACTTTCTCTACTTTTCTTTTTTTTTTATTTTATTTAGAAAATTAGCCTAACGTGAAATGTTTAATTTTTATTAAAGAGCTTCTTCACTTTAATTAACGTTCAGTAATAATAATTTAAAACAACAAATTAATTTGCATCATAATTCAAATGTAAGTTCAACACCTATGAACTTTGATTTCTTATTAATTTCTCCTAATGATTCAGCTCCATCAGGATTACGTGACACTTTCACTTTTCAATATGAATCAATCTGTAAATGATTTATAATACAACATTTATGACGATTCTGATGGATGAGAAACTTTACGCTACATAGAAAGGGAAATGGTTTGTGATAATCGTGAACGCCGTAAGAGAATAAAAAAAAAAGATTACAAAATAAAAATTGATATCTCATCTTTATAATCAGGGTCGTAAAGCTATATTTTTAAATTGATTCAATATAATATGATCATTGTAGAGTCATTATTGAATATTTAAGATATTTTACGTTTGCAAAAGAAAAAAAAAGAAATAAAGAACAGTTGTTGGCTGCTTTCAGCAAATTTTATAATTTTCATTTTTTTTTTTCTTTTGACCCGCATAAATTATATCTAACAATCAAAAGGATTATCGTCAATTGATTGAGGTCGAGAAAGAAAACAGGTGATCGATCAGTTAAGGAGGTTTTCCACTTTTGACGCATGTCAAATTAAATTAATCTTTGAACTTTTACGATCACTTTTCATTATTCACTTTTGAATTCTTTTTTTTTATTTGTGAATTAAATGATTTGGAGTTAAATTTTGAAACTATTATCAAATAAATATTTACTCGAACCAAATAATTTTTATTTGATTTAAATAAATTTTTCATTCAAAATACCTAATACTTAGTTTTAATTGATAATAATTTTGAAAAATGATTTTTTAAATCATTATTTATTTTAAATTTTTTAAATGACTTTTTTTTCTAAATAACTCCTTATACCTATGTTTACAATCTTGTTTGGTCCTGATCGAATAATTTTGTCGAGACACCAAATTCAAATAAATCAATCATCCGGCTGAAACATTACGAACTAATGGCACATTAGGGCGTAATTGCTCGGCTTCAGATCATTAGGAACGTCAAGGATAATCTCATTAATCAAACTGATGTTTTAGGTGTTTTAACGCATTATATATACTATTGATTTTTGCGACAAAAATTTAAAAATCTTTAAGCGAGAAATTATATTTTATAAAAAATGACAGAATAGTACATAAACGGAGAAAATTTTATACATTACATTAATTTAATGAAACATCTGAGCACGAAACTAGTTCAGATGATCACGAATATATATATATATACAGTAATTGCATCTCCAGTAATACATATATATATATATATAATAGTGACGTGTGATGAAATTGGCAAGCAAGTATATAGCTAAAAAGACACGTTGCTTAACACCAGACTAGTGTATTTTTATTACAACTCAAGCAAAACTTCTCCATTCTCAATGTTACTGATTAAGCAATATATATGTACATTGCTCGTGAAGTAAGAACAACAGTAAAAACGTGCAAACAACAATAAAAATCGACCATACTTTTATTTACAGTAATCCCCCTTTTTTTAGTGCATCCTGTTTCTGTACATATATTGTTATAATTATTCTTCTTGTGATTATTGCTTCGACAATATATAGTGATCGAAATATAAGAGTTGGGTAGAAATTTTATGTTCATCATAAAATTACAATATCGCCGCAGGGATTCAATGAAAATTCACTTGTATATATACAAAACCTTCAAGAACAGTCAAGGTATAATCTCTAATATACACTGTGGAAAAATGATCTATTAAACTGAAAACTATTTTCCTTTTAAATCAAGTCCTTTAATGGTTAAAATAATTAGTTTTATCGTAAATGAAATCTTTTAAATTTAAAAATATTTCAAAGTTTTTTTTTTAATTAAAATTAATAAATAATAATACTAAATTAATTAATTACTAATAATATTAATAAATAATTAATAACTATTTATTTTTGTTTTTTTTTCAAAAATGTTTTCTTTTAATAATTAAAGGATATTGTTAATATTTAATAATTAAATATACAGGAAAAATACTATTCATACCATAAATTGATAGGTGTTAACTTTTTGCTAAAATAATTTTTCTAATCCTTATTTTCTAAGAAGGCCTTTTCTAATGATGTCAGTTTTCTAAAAAATTTTCAAACAAGTTTTGATTTCTAAAAAAAGTTTTGCTAATAAATTTCGATTTCTAAAATTTTTATTTTCTAATAACATTGAATTTTTGAAATAAATGTACAATATTTACTAAAAAAAAA